TTCACAATCTCTCCGCAAATTTGTTCCTCTAATTCCTGTTGACTATTTGGGGGCCTATAATACAACCCCAATAATGTCAATAATGTCACCACCCCCTTCTTATTTCTTAACTCCACACACAAAGCCTCACTGGATGATCCCTCAGTTATTTCATCTCTGACTACTGCTGTGATACTCCCCTTAATCAAAAATGCAACTGCCTCTCCTCTTTCTTCAACCTCTGTCTCGCCTACACACCTGTACTCTGGCACATTAAGTTGCTAGTCCTGTCCTCCCTTAGCCTTGTTTCTGTAATGGCTATAATATCCCTGCCCCATATACCTATCCATGCTCTGAGTTCATCGGCCTTAGCTGTCAGCCCTGTTGCATTGAAATAGATGTAATTTAATCCAACAGGCATTCCTCGCTCCCTATCCTGTTCCAGTCTTACCTGTCTCTTTAACTTGTTATTTCTGATTACTGTATCTCCTTCCAGCCTCACGCCTGCCTCCCTGCTGTTCTGAGGAAGGGTCACTGGACCCGAAATGTTAACTCTGACCTTTTCTTCACAGATGCTGCCAGACCTGTTGAGCTTTTCCAGGAAGTTTGTTCCACCCACCTCCCCCAACCGCCAATCTGGTTTAAACCCTCCCTTGCAGCACTAGCCACTCTACCTGCCAGGATATTGGAACACTCCAGATCAGGTGCAACCCGTCCCTTTTTAGCAGGTTACCTCTGCCTCAGAAAAGATCCCAATGATCCAGGAATCTGAATCCCTGCCCCTTGCATCAATTCTTTAGCCACACATTCATCTGCCATACCCTCCTGTTCCTACCCTCACAGCACATGGCACTGGAAGTAATCCAGAGATTACCACTGTCGAAGTCCTGGTTTTTAACTTATTTCCTATCTCTGTATAATCACTCTGCAGGCCCTCATCCCTATTTTTATCGATGTCAATTGTTCCAACATGCACAATGACTTCTGGCTGCTCACCCTCCCCTTTGAGAACATTCTGCAGCCGCTCTGAGACATCCTGGACCCTGGCACCCAGGAAGCAACACACCATCCTGGATTCCCGTTTGCAGCCACAGGATCTCCTGTCTGTCCACCTAACTATTGAGTCTTCTATCACTAAGGTCCTGTTTACCGTTACCATTTCCTGTTGTGACCCAGAGCCAGTCATAATGCCACCAACCTGGCTACTGGTGCTTTTCCCTGATCGGTCATTTCTCCCCCAACAGTATCCAAAATGGGGATGAGGGGGAATGGCCACACGGGATTCCTGGACTCTCTGCCTACTCCCTTTGCCTTTTCTGGTGGCTACCCAGCAATTATCTGCCTGCACCTTAGGTGTGACCAGCTCACGAAAACTCTCATCTATGATGCGTTCAGCATCTCGGGTGTTCCTGAGTGCATCCAACTCCAGCTCCCTAATACAGTCTCCCAGGAGCTGCAGCTGGGTGTACTTCCCACAGGTATAGTCATCATCAGGGATGGTGGAAGTGTCCCTGATCTCTCACCTTGCAGGAGGAGCATGCCACTGCCCTAACTACCATCTCAAATGCTCTAATGGGGCTGCCGAAGATGTGATTCCACTCCTTGGACCAGTCTTGCGGGGGCTGGAGGCTGCCCTCCAGTACAATCTAGACTAATTTTTCTGTAACATCCTGGTGTGCTCTGCATAATTGGGACAGGCAGTGAGGTGATGTGATAGATGCTGAGGGAATCGGAGCAGTCTTCTGGGAAGAAGGATGGGGATACTGGGGAGAAGGAAGCTCTCCTTGCCCATGACGGTGTTTAGATGGGTCAGGCACTACAAACCCATGGACAGGGTTGAATTTGCTCCTGCTGGCTGTAAATAAAAGCCAGTGTTTGGATTTGCTTGTTTGTATGTGATGTTCCTCTCCTGAACAGTGTTGAATTGCAGTGGGCACTGGGGATAGAGCAGCAGTGACTCAGAGAGACTGTTTATACAGCAGGTAGTTAAGGACAGATAAGCTGTGTCGCTCGGCCGGAGTGAGAAGTTGATGTTGTACATGCAAGGGAGTGTCAACCATGCTAACTAGGTCCTGTGGGCACCAGGGCTACATGGATGCTGTGCCATGACATTGCCAATGAGGGGTAACACTGATTGCCAACACTTGCCTGGGTACATAGCACCCTTTCAATGATGGCATAAGTACAGGGGGTGCCAGACTTTTGCTAGGTATCTGCTGAGTGGGAGTTGTTTTGGGAATGATGCATGGTATGATGGGGCCACAATCAGAGGGATGCCATCGAAGTGAGGTAAGTAATTAACACAATGAGAATACTTGACACAGCTAGGATTCAGTTATATGAATGTAAGTATCAGTCCATAGCGTGGCATCAAACCGTACAATAAAATATAAAAAAATAGAAAATGCTGGAGATACTCATCAGGCTTGGCAGCATCTGTGGAGAGAGAAATAGAATTAACATTTCAAGCCTGATATAACTCTTCTTCAGATCTCCAGAGTTCTGACTTTCAAAGTGATATCTTAACAGAAATGAACGAAGATATTTCTTTTCCAAAATGGCTAGAGGATTTCCACATGATTTTTCTGTAGAACATTCTCAAAACAGCTTCATTTAGTCAGATTTTTTAACTATCAAAATCCGAACAATATCCTTACAAATCAAGAAAATAATCAACAATATCAAGTGCCTTCAATAATTAAATGATGCAGCAAAACTTGTTTATAACAATCTCTCCACCAGAAAAGCTTAAGCTTTCAGATCCAGTTGATAGATTGGTGAGTTGGCAGATGTGGTCTGTACACCAAAATCAAATGCAGGACAGGTTGGCACACCTCTCTACTACTTGGGCAGAATATCTGATCATGTGTTACACACACAACAGATAAATGAAAACAAATCATGTTTGACAATCTCCTTTCATAAATATTTCACTTAATGAACACACTGGATACTGGTGAGAATATGCTTCAATTACACTTTTCAACTCCCGGCAGGTTCTGTAGATAGTATTGTTACTGATCTATATGTACAACCTGAGCCATGTAACGATGAAAGCTTACAACAAGAACTAATTCACAACAGAATTTTCAATGGCATCTTTGAACGGTCACTGAACATCCTCAATCAAAAGAGGATCTAATTCTAGAACAAATAATTCAAACAGCAATGGATACCGAGTCTAAAGACTGTTCTAAAGCATTAGACAGCAAAAGTTCCTTTTAATCAAGAACATTCTACAGAGTGTACTGACTACTCGAAGCACAATAATCCATTTGACCAGAGGCAAGACCTTTCTTTGGAACAATATACCACATGTGATAACAGAGAACATCCTGAACAATTTTTAATACTTCAGTAAAATAAAACAAAGAACTGAAGATGCTGAAGATCTGAAACAGAAATTGCTGGAAAAACTCAGTACATCTGGTAGCATCTGTGGGAAGAAAGCAGAGTTAACATTTTGAATCTGGTGACTCTTCATCAGAATTCTGCTTTCTCCCCACAGATGCTGCCAGACTTGCTGAGCTTCTCCAAAAATTTCTGTTTTTGTTAATACTACAGCAGCTTGTCATTGTGGTTCTAAAATTGCTTAACAGTGAAGACAAAATTGGCCAAGCTCTCATGGACAATGTGCTCAGTGTGAAAAAAAGACCACTTCCTGATATTGCTCTACTGTCTGAAGAACACACTAAGCAACAGGTCAAATCATCCCCAACCTAATACGTACAGTCATGCCTTGGAACAAGACCTTGAAGAATACATCGATATTGCAAGAGAATAAGCTTATTTACACAAAAAAACAACAATGCATGTATGGATTATTTAATGTTTTCCAAAAAAAAACTGGCAATGGTATCCAATTCTAATACTTGGATAGAAAAGGTATAATCAGCTCATAATTCTGGTATGTGCTTGTAGTTACATTCTCACAAATTCCTTCAGCCAGATGGATCGACTGTCTGATCTAATGGAAGCCAGCAGAAAAAATACAAGATCACCAACTTTGCCTCAAGTTGTTCTATATCTGGACACAGATTTTCCTGATGTACCTTTTGAAACAGATGAATCAATCAAATAAAGTAATCTAAGTAACTTACTTGAGAATGTATACGACTTTAATCAATATTAATGACAAGTGAAGAAAAGCTTGGGCAGGCTGCTGTGTAAGGGCATCATGACTCTGAAGCAAACTTGCAAAAAGGTTAGAGAGCTGCCCATCCCTGATTATAAATAACAGTGTGGGTGGAATTAGAATGTACTAGAACACCCATACCTAGACCACTACACTCCAGAAGGAGCAAGTCATGAGCACATTAAAACACGAACACATAGAAACACCAAGATAGATTAGCCCTTATGTGTTATAACTATCAGATCAGATCATTCTTCTACGATGCCATATATAGCAGGATTTAGTATAAAAGTATAATTGAACAATGTTACTTTGATGTCTAGGTTTGAAGACAGTTCTTGACTTTGTCCTTGACCAGTCTGTCTTGAACCCAAAGTCAGTGTGGCATCTGATCACACAATTAAAGGCTCCAGGCCTCTCCAATGGTCCTGATATAGAAAGGCTGAGTCTGAAGATTCATTAACTCTGCACCAATTAATACTTACTCACATAAGCACTTATAAAAGCTTCAGACCATTTCTACGTCACTTGAATTTATTGACCAACATGCACTGACTTCCCTCTGTCAGCCTCAAACCATCTACAAAGAAACAACATTAGCCTTAACTACTTTTTAATTTTTCCTTCATGTCTTTGGAGGCATTTCTATATTGATAATGATTGTTATGTGCATTTATCTGAGGCAATATACTCCAGCTTTAAAAAAATCTAATTCTACCTATTAAAATCTTGCACATTAGGCTGCCAATTTTCCGACTGTACAATAGATTAATGGGCAGAAAATCACAGGAATGTACCTGATCCGCATTCACATCACCTGAGGGCCCTCACTAAGTAGCATGTATTTGGGAAGCCAACATTAGGTACAATAATTGATAAGTCTTACCAGAGCATTGAAAACCACTGCCTCTGAATCCCTGCTTACATTTACATTTAAAAGATCCCTGAATGTTGCGGCATTCTGCATGGTCGCTGCATGAGTGTGTATTGGTAGCACATTCGTCAATGTCTGTCAAACAACATAAATATCAAGAGACCTGTTTTAAAAAAAGTAGTCCAGACCATTTGGGAGAAACATTAAATCAGGTGGTGTTGCTGCCTCCTCCGCCCAAAAGGTTGACTGGGTAATGCACCCTGTCGATAACCGCTACCCTATAACCACTTTACTCTTTGAGCGGCCTTAATTGTCTAAGGCCAAGATGTCTGCTCCCATCTGGAAAGGACGTTTCACCTTTAGAAAGCTGCTGAACAAAAGCACCATGTTTGGTTTGGTCATTGTTGGGACTCTGAAGAAATAGACTCAGGAGTCTGTGAAGAATGGAAGCTAATGGAGGCTAATGGGTAAGCTCGACTTATTGGCATGGCCTGACCTGCACGCCTCAGTGATACGGTGCGTGGGTTGGGAACTGGGTGGATTTGAGAGGCCAAGAGACAGTGATGTGGGTTAAAGGGGTGTACCACCTTGTGCAGGGTGCCTCTGATGGGCACAGGGAACGTCAAAGGAGGTCACCCTCACCCCAACACCACCACCCTCACCCCCAATTCAGCCAGTAAAATCTATGTAGTGTGAACCTCACCCTGTCCTACACAAACTAGCGGTGGGTGCAGGATGAGGTTTTCAGTGGCGATTGATCGCATGTTCTGGTTAAAATGGAACACAGTTCGAATTGATTGGGCATGCTGCATTTTAAAAGTTTCCCTGCTTCCACAGCAGGTGACTGCGAAATTCCACCCATTGTGTGGCTGGGTCATAAAAGCTTGAACACCTCGGCATTTATTCCCAGTCTGTGCTGAGTTAGATCTCAGCCAGAGTGACAATAGGAGAACTAGAGTTACTTACAAAGCTTTGGGGTTGGAAGAATAGCCTCTGTAAGGGTGAACATCAGGATAGGTTTCACAGTGTCTGTGCAGCCTGCAAGAACTACCCACATGTGCTGTCTGGGTTTATGCACAGAGTAAAGTTTTGTGCACTAGTAAAGGGTATTCATGGAATTGTTGGAAGATTCAGTGGCTTCTGGAGAGGAGTAGGTGTGACCTGGAGTTGTCACAATTTGCTTCATATTTTTGGATATTTAGTTGTCAGCTGACTGTTCAGAAATTGCTATATTAAGCTTACCTACACATCTGTATTTACCGTCGATGTATTTGAGCTCATAGCCAGTCTGGCATTTGCAGAAGTAACTTCCAAATGTATTCACACACCTCCGCAGAGGAGGGCATTGAGGTTTGCTAGTTGCACATTCATCAATATCTGGAAGAGGGAAATGGAGAAAAATTAGATATACTTGCATACTTTCACATAACAGCCTAATAAGCAAATATGTTACAGGTTTTAAATTAAATATTGGATGGTGAGGATGGAGATTTGCATTGCATTGCATACTAATAGGCTCTTAACTCTGAATTAGTTTGCAACTTAAATAACTTCATAGGTTAGAATTAGAATGCGAAGTTGGCTGTGCAGAAATGGTAGCTCAGTAGTTAGCACTGCTGCATCACAGCAACAGGGATCCGGGTTTGATTCCACCCTTGGGTGACTGTCTGCGTGGAGTTTGCATGTTCTGTCTGTTTCAGTGTGGGTTTCCTCCAGGTGCTCCAGTTGCCTCCCACAGTCCAAACATATGCAGGTTCGGTGGATTGGTCGTGGTAAATTGCCCTGTAGTGTCCAGGGATGTGCAGCCAAGGTGGGTTAGTTGTGGGAAATGCAGGGCTATAGGGATGGGGTGGGTCTGGGTGGGATGCACTTTGAAGGGTTGGTATAAACTCAATGGGCCGAATGGCTTGCTTCCACATTGTAGGGATTCTATGATTCCTCTTAGGCGATTCAGCAGAGTGTGAATGGGCAGTTGAGGTATGATTTTATTGTGTGCTCCTGCTCAACGTGAATTTTACCCTGAAGGGGCCTTGTGAACTTTTTATGGAAAAGTTTTGCTAACATGTCTTAAGTTAGGGATTGCATTCTGCACTTCTGGAAAACCAGGAATTGAATGGACTTAGGCGGCTATGTCATTTGGATTTTCAATCCTCGCAGCTGCTTCTACAGGTAATCTGGGAAGGAAAATAGACTGAATTGCTTGAATTAATATTGATTGCTGAATCAGCGTTATCTTGTTATCGGTTTATGATTAGGTCATACATTCTCGAAGACTCAGCAGTCTAGCCAGTCTTTGAACTATGAGGATTTTGTGGGCTTGCCCCCTCTCAAACATGTTTTGTGTAGAAACAAAGGAACAGGAATCAATTTTGAGTCACTCAGACCTGATTCACTGATCACTTGGAGCCTGACTGACTTGTATCTCAACTTCACTGGCCATTCTTTGATGTACTTGCATTGTATTTTACAATGCTACCATAAATTCGCATAAAGAAATCCCCTGCCTTACAGTCAACCAGAACTGACAACTTTACAAATGCTCTGTTATCATTGCCATCAGGAAAGATAAGTGCTTCAATTATGAATAAAGAATCAATTGCATGTTTTATGTATCTACGGTGGGAAGTAGCCTGAGAGGAGAAGAGGGATCAAAGCTTAGAGCTGAGGCTACTTTAATGCTTACATTTGTTTAAGGTTCCTCCAGACCTTACTCAAGGTAACATCTCCATGCTAAATTTATTCTTCTTCTTTAAAAATTTTCTGCAAATTGTGGGTTGATGTGGCGTAGATTATGGATTGAATGGTGTGCGTACTTAGCTGCCCACCCACAGAGAACAGACGAGTCAGAATGTTATGGGGAACCCATCATTCAGGACTTTCCCCAGTGGAAGTTTCACTCCACCTTGTGTCAGTGTTGTTTCTGATTTGTTCCTCAGCCTGGAGATCAGCCAGATTAGCCTCTGGTTAGGTAGGGAACTGGTGTATGAGTGCGAAAAGTGCAGGAGTTGATCAAGGGAAGATGAATTGATTGGAAAAGAAGGGTTAATCAGAGTGTGCTTGATTGGGGTAACAGGGCAGGAGGCCCTGTCAATTATCACTGTTCAGGTTGGGAAGGTGGAATCAATTGGAGGGGGTTTGCTTGTGTATAGGGTGGTAAGAAAAAGGTGGCTGTTGATTCCAGGAAAGAGGCTGGGAGCCTGGAGACTGGATGCATTCAGACAACTTGTATTATTGTGGGAAGGAGTTTAGGCCAGGACATGGTTGGTAGGGGTGTAGGGGTATTGGGGGTGGGGTGGGGGTGTTGGTGGTGCAGGGTGTGTTTTAAAGCATTTGGGAGAAATGGGGTACTGTGGTATTTGGAGGCTGAGGATGTTGTTCCAATCTCAATAGAGAACGTTAATGTTTTAGAGAATTTCAAACTCCCTGTTATTAACCAAAATATTAAGTCACAAGATTTCACGTTTAAAATCAAATCAGTTTTACTGCAGAAAAATCAAGTAAAGCAAACATTATGATGTAAAGACTTGCTTACCTAATTACTACTTTGAAAGGCACAATAAAACACTACCACATATTTTAGACTAAAATTCTCAATTAAAACTTCTACTTTTCACTATGACTGACTGTCAGTTAAATTTTTGCCTACCTATCAGATTCATGAAAGTTATCTATTTCCTTGGAGCCAACTCTTAACATTCCTGCAACTGCCTTGTAAGGTCTTGGACTTTTCATCTTAGGCGTGAGTTTGACATTTAATTCCTGCCTCAAGATTTCAACAGATAATTGGAAATATCCTGTGTTTCGACTCAGTTCGCCCTCATGGTCCAAGCTACTCTCCAGCAACTAAATTTCTCTCCCTCTCTCCCTGATTTCTCGCTGAACTGATTGTTTTCTTAATGCAGGTTACTGCAGATTTCTTCCTCTAGTTCCAAGCAAAGCAAATCCCTCAGTCTCTTTTTTTCTTTTATGAACTCTGCCTTCAAACTGCGTCCATATAGTGAATGATAAAGTCAGCATTTTCTCTACTTAAGGTGCAGGCTTGGCTAACATCTCTCTCTCTTTTTCCCTTGACTTCGAATGAACTGCAAACTACACAAGATGAAAGCTAAATTGTCTCTGTCTATTCCCATGCTGAACTATTTGTATCTGTGAGCAAGCATGCAGATAAATTGAAACAAAAGAACCTTCCTAACACCCAGTCCATCTCCATGACAATGAGACATAATAGAGATACCTCAAACTGAAATGTAAACTAATTAACTTTTACCTCCAAAACTACCCTTTGATCCTGTGTCCTGCAGGAATAATTCCATTTCTAATTGAATTAACTGCCTTGTTCCCAGACTTGCTGGTTCCAGCAAGAAACTACTCCTCCCTGTTTTTGAAGCTGTTTTATTGCAAGGGTTTATAGCAAAATAGCTGTATTCGACTCCAGATTAGAAAATTGTATGTTCAAATCACATCGGGCTTATAGAGCTTTGAGGCTCTAAATGCACAGTGGGTAGTGTCCCTATCTGTGGTCCACCTCTGGATTCAAGCCCCTTCTGCCCTGGACAAGTGTCATGATGTGTCTGAACAGATTGATTAAAAGTATGTACAAAGGTGCGTTCAACTTCTGGGAACTAAATGAATAATCCAAACTCTTATTGAAATAACTATAGACTCCTGTCCAAAACCAAAAGCTCACAGAAGGGTCATCCATTGTTTAGGTTGTCTCCCTTCTAACTTTAACCGTTAAATTTCGATTTCTCCCTAAATCAATTGGAGAATAGTACTGAAAGCTACCCCCGTTGTTGAGCTTTCAGTCTGTCCTGTTTACGTGATTTAAACCAGGAGTCAAAAAGCATTCTCCTTTAAGTGATGCTGAATCAGCCAAGGGTAAAATCAATAAACAGCTTGAAGTTTGAGTGAACTTGAACATGACTGTGTAACAACTGACATAACATTTATCAAACAATGACTCAATTAATTAGCAGAAAAATAATGCTCCAGTATATATTCCAGGGAGGTAGTATTTCCACTGGGCCAGTAATCCAGATAGCTCTGGTTAATGCTCTGCAGACATGGGTTCAAATCCTCAATGGCAAAACTTGAATTCAATGAATTAATCTGGAATCTAGCTTTTCTAATGGTGATCATGCAATCGTTGTTGTTTGTTGTAAAAACCCAAAATAGCTTGCTCACCCACCTGGTCTGGCCGACATATAACACTAGACTCACAGCAATGTTGCATAGAAACAATGAAAATAGGAACAAGAGTTGGTCATTCTACCCTTTAAGCCTGATCTGCTGTTCAAATAGTCACAGTTGATCATCCATATTATTTCAGCCCTTCAGCCCTAAAATCTATATCTATCTCCTTCTTGAAAACATTCATCGTTTTGGCCTTAACTGCATTCTGTGACAGAGAATTCCAAAGGCTCACCACTGACTGGCTGAAGAAATTTCTCCTCATCTCAAGTAGTAGAAATGCCTTCCCCTGCATCATTAGACTGTGATCCCTGGTTCCGGACTGTGTTCTTTGGGGACATACTTTCTGCATTTACCCTGTCTGGTCAATTTAGAATTTTATAAGTTTCTTTAAAACCTGCCCCCACTGCCTCCCCACCACCACCCTCACCCCCACCACTCCTCATTCTTCTAAACTCCAGTGAATACAATCTTAATCGATCTAGTCTCACTTCATACATGAGACCTGCTATTCTACAAATCAGTCTGGTAAATCTTCGTTGCACTGCCTCCTTTGCCAGAACATCTTTCCTCAGATAAGGAGACCAAAACAGCACACAGTGTTCTAAGTGCGGTCTCACCAAGGCCCTGTAAATTGCAGCAAGACATCCCTGCTCCTGTACTTGAATCCTCTTGCTATGAAGGCCAACGTACCATTTGCCTTCATCACTGCCTGCTTCACCTGCATACTTACTTCCAGCTTCGTTGACTCTCCACTGCCTTCTGACTGAGTTTAAGGGTAATTGAGGGTCTGGCTTTTCCAGGGATGCCCATTTCCCATGAAAGAAATAAATAATCAGGTCATTTTATTTTAGTGGTAAACTTTGTTCTCATACACGAGATTACAGAGAAAGTATAGACCTATGCAGGTTTTTCCATCTGGTCCCAGTTGTAATCCAGAGGATGGGCAGAAACAGCGGATCTCTCCTTTCACATCCTCACAGCTGTATTGACAGTTTGCCATTGCACATGTCCTGGAATCTAAAGAAAACAGAGTCAGTGAACTCGTATGCATAAAACCTCGTACATCAATGCTTCTTTTCCCTCTTTGATGGGCAGCTGGAATTAATCCTATTCTGGACCTTTGCTGATGCAAATTACATAGATGCAATGAGCTTTGTATTTTAAAAACATATGTAATTTGTTTCAACGGTTTGGTTTCTCACAATTTCCTTGGAAGAGTGACAATTACAAGCATACTCCTATTTAAACTTTGCTATTGCAGAGCTAGAGATCTGAATTGTTGATTGGGAAGGAGCGAACCATAACTTGTTAGTTTTATTTGTCTTTGTGGTTGTGTTAGTTCATTCATTTGTGGTTGCATGAACCAAATCATTATCAGATGCAACTGCTGAGGAATCAGTGACTTGATTATTGAATTACAATTTGTGTTAATGTTTTTGTCAGTCACTAATTCAATTTACATCAAGTACCTGCCATTCTATCATGCAACAAAGATGCTGGATTCTCTCTTGCCATGACTGTTGCTTTACTGGTGCAGTGTTTTGAAGTTTCCTGATGCTGTGTTGTACACTGATAGAGCATATGATTGGAAATGTTATGAATCCTTTTCAACAAGTTAATGTACTGTTTGGAAATCAGCCTTTTCCACAAAAGGAGGTGAAGACAATTTGAGGGGAAATAAAATGACTCTTCATCATTCCACATAGCTTTTAGCAGGAATATCAGGTGCTCAAAAGTAGGTTCTGTGCAAGGTGTTTATCCTGGAAATATAGCTTCCTTACCTGGGGCACCCTGGCTAATTTTCTCTGCATCTCCACTTCTCTTTCTAACTTCTCAAAGCCTTCCATCTCTCCTAACCCTTATCCCATGGTTCAGCAATACTTAATTTACTGCTTTTTGTGTCTTTGCCCTCTTGTCTGCATGGCACTTTGACAGAACACTACCTATCAATTTAGAATTGATGTTACTGTTAAGAAAATTTCATGTGCATTAGGTGAAATTACTGAAAAGAAAGAAGCAATTACTGAAAGGCTGGGAGAGATTCTGACCTAATTTCCCAGGTAGGACACCAATGCGATCAGGTGGAAAATTGTTTTTTAGAGGCTGTATTGTATTGGCCTGCATTAGTCGAGTAACTTAAATGTTGCGCCCATTCCTGCCATTTTCCCAATGAGTAGCTTAGAAATAAAATTGGTTACAGAAACCTTTAATTGCAAAACCTTCCGTGAAGAACTAAACCTAATATTGTACCCAACCCTGTAACAGGCCATCTAATGGCCTCTACCAATAATTAGAATTGCCCTGCAGCTGTAGAGTTATAGAAACGTACAGCATGGAAACAATACATTCGGTCCAATTTGTCCATGCCGACCAGATAACCCAAATAAATCTAGTAACATTTGCCAGCATTAGACCCATATCCCTCTAAACCCTTCCCATTCATATACCCATCCAGCTGCCTTTTAAATGTTGTAATTGTACCAACCTCCACCACTTCCCCTGGCAGTTCATTCCATACACACATCACCCTCTGTGTGAAAAAGTTGACCATTAGATCCCTTCTAAATCTTTCCCATCTCACCTTAAACCTATGTCCTCTAGTTTTGGACTCCCCTACCCTGGGTAAAAGACCTTGACTATTCACTCTATCCATGCCCCTCATGCTTTCATAAACCTCTCAAAGGTCACCCCTCAGCTTCTGATGCTCCAGGGAAAGTTTTAAAGTGAGTGGAGGTAGATATAGGGGAGACGTCAGAGGTAGGTTCTTTATTCAGAGAGTGGTCGGGGCGTGGAATGCATTGCCAGAGAGGGTAGTGGAGTCGGCCTCATTAGCGGCATTTAAGTGGCTATTAGATAGGCATAAGGATGATAGTATAAGGTAGGGGTGGAGGTTAGATAGACCTTAGGATTAGGGTAAAAGTTCGGCACAACATCATGGGCCGAAGGGCTTGTACTGTGCTGTACTGTTCTATGTTCCATGTTCTACAGTTCTATGAAAGTAGCCCCAGCCTATTCAACCTTTAGCACTAAAACACCAGTTTTCCGTTGCTGCGAAATTGGTGTGTGTAAAATTGTAAAATGAGGAAAAGCAGTGCTTCATCCCTTTAAAAGGTTTTTTTTGCATGCTTAGAGTTAAAATGGATGTCTGACCAGCAGCTTGAAGTGCAGGTGCACAGAGAGAGTGCCAGGATGGAAATATTTTGTATCGAACAGTCAAGCAGCATTTTTACCAAGACAACAAGTCTTTTCAAATTTAGCCAATCAATTTAAACAAAACCCTTAGATACTAAAAACCTATTAAATTTAAATTTGATGGTGTTGACAACATCGACCCAATCCTATATAAGAAATATTGCTTTGTCATCAAGGGTATAAAGATGGGGGCTTTTGGAAAATTGGGGGAGCCAACTGCCAAGAGACAACACCGTTAGGTCTCAGAGAAAGCACCATCTCTTTAATAAAAGGTGCCACGGTACTTCTAGCTAAGAGTCTTTACAGAGAAAACATCCCTGACAGCAGAATCAGCGGCAGAAGGACATTTGTGATGTGAGATCAACAGAAGAAAAGGCTCCCGAAGGCACAGTCTGTGCAAACTTGAAGAGGTTAAGTTTTAATTTATTGTTGTCTTATTAATTGGATTTATATAAGTGGGACTTGTGTTTATTTGAACAGCATTCGAGTAGAATTTAAGCCAGTTAGGGAGTTATTAGTAATCTAGGGGGGAATTGTTCTTGTTGTTTGTTAATAGTTCTGTCAATTTGTTCAATGTTAGGGTTAAATAAATAATTTTTTTGTTGTTATTTATAAAGTGGATCAGGGATTTTCTTTTCTTAAACCACTCTTTTAACAGATTATGAGGGAAAAGGCGATTCCACCCTCGGGTGACTGTCTGTGTGGAGTTTGCACATTCTCCTTGTGTCTGCATGGGTTTCCTCCGGGTGCTCCGGTTTCCTCCCACAATCCAAACAGGCGCAGGCTAGTGGATTGGCCATGCTAAATTGCCCATAGTGCCTGGGGATGGGTCTGGATTGGATACTCTGAGGGTCGGTGTGGACTTGTTGGGCCGAAGGGCCTGTTTCCATACTATGGGGATCCTATGATTCTATGAAAGACGAGTTTCTCTGGGTGTTTCAGAGCTAATTATTAGTAGGGAACCTCCACTCCCATCATAAGAGATTGGGATTTGTGTTTTGGAATAATAATCAGATGAGTTCGGTCACTGCCCCTCCGTAACACCGTTAAGTTGTTGTAAGTACAAATTGAAATCAGTACAGTGAGGAAAATAGGACATCTGAGACCTGACTGAACTGGGAAAGTCTTAACCAATTAAATTTATACATGTTTTTAAATTTAATGTATTTACCTAATCAACCTGTTCAGAGGTGTTATTACACACCTCTGGAGCAGATGGGACTTGAACCCAGATTGCTCATCTAAGGATAGGGACACTATCACTGTGCCACAAGACAACCCCTTATAATCAGCAGGACTCTAATTTGTAATCCATCATCCTAACCACTCGGCCATGATTAAGCATTCACCAGAAGGAGAAGGAGGATAAATTCAATCAGGTACAGAAAGTGAAATAAAGATAGGAAGATAAAGATTGGATTAAGAGACAGAGAGTGAAAAAGTAGAAAGGAAATGCAATGCAAATTCTTTAAACCTTATTGTTTTGCATTTTAAAGATAATTCCCAAATATTTCACAAGTTAAAGTAGTGAGATCGCATATTTGTAATGGGTAATTTTTCAGATGAGCGAGCGAGGTTGATTGGCCGCGGTTAACAGTAATTGTATGACTAAATGGGTACTTACACTAGCCCTAAACATCTGTGTTGATTCATTTTATACCTAATTCACAAATACAGCAACTTCACGTCATTTAATATATTTCAAATAATAAGGCAGACAGCAGAGTGCCACTTTTGCAAAGCTTTACAGCAGAGTGACAACTCAGGCAGTTAATAGTTGCTTATTTGCATTTGACAATCCATCTACTTCTTGCAATAGGGTTTTTGCCATTTGTACTTAAAAATGTGTTTTTTTTGCTCCATTACTATATTGACAACAAATTTTGATTTACTGTTACTGCACTTTAAAAGCATCTAATGCATGTTGCCAATGAACTTTTAAGAAATGGTCGCTTGTTCCAAATAGCCTCAAAAATAGCTGAAATCTCAAGCTGCAAAACTAGGAGGAGAACATAATAAATCCAACAGATGATCAATCCATCAGCAATATTTTATCGCAACAGCAATTTCAGGAATGTTTCACTCACTAGCACATGAGCCGTCTGGAGTCAGCATGTAACCATTCAGACAGTAACACTTGTAGCTGCCATGTGTATTCATACATCTGTGTTCACAAGGTCTTGGCTTCAGCCCACATTCGTTAAAATCTACCGCAGCCAAAAAGAATTGGTGTGAAACAAAACAAGAATAGCTGAGAGAGCTGGTTTCATTTGTTTGACAAGATTATTTTTCACACTTTTGAGTAGCATGTGAATGTACAAGCTGTTCAAACACCTTTGAAAACACCATCGTTGTGAAGTCATGTTATGCAATATGAGGATTTTTTTATTCATTTGCTGGATGTGGGCATCGCTGGCTGGCCAGCATTTATTGCCCATCCCTGTTGCCCTTGAAGGGGCTTTGCAGCGATTGATACAACTGAGTGGCTTGCTAGGCCATTTGAGAAGGCATTTCAGAGTCAACCCCATTGTGTAGGGCTGGGGTCACATGCAGGCCAGACCAGGTGAGGATGGCAATTTTCTGCCCTGAAGGACATTAGTGAACCAGATGGGTTTTTCCAACAGTCAACAATGGTTTCATGGTCATCAGCAGCTTCTTTTTATTAAACTAAGATTCAACCATCAGCCGTGCTGGGATTTGAACCTTAGTCCCCAGAACATTATCTGAGTTTCTGGATTAATAGTCTTAATAGTGATTAAGACCACTAGGCCATCGCCTTTCCAAGAGTATCTAGATGAGTAAGTGAGATGGAGAAAGATCGTCCCATTGAACTGCGTTGGTGGTGGGTTGTAGAATGCCACAATAAATAAGTATACAAAGTGATGCCCTGGACATAGCAATTAAGAAATTTAACAGGCAGGTGTGAGGAATTTAAAGTTAACAGAGAACTGAGATAGAGCTGTCAATGAATAACTGCACTAAGTCTAAATAATGAGGGTCAGGAAATGAGGCATCAAAAGTCAGGGACAAACAATGAAAGGAGGCTGAGCTCCGGACTGGAGTGTGTCGGCAGACAAGGGAGAAAATATTTGGGATCTTATATGGGAAACACAAGGAATGGGTGACGCCAACTAGCTGAGGTTTTATGTTATAAATGCAAGATTGCCTGTGGCCTCAACCTGGAACTAAAAGAAGATATTTTGTTTGCCAATAGTTTGCCAAGCTAAGTGTAGGCATGCTTTGACATCTTACCTTGGTGTTTTATAGTTGTTCATTGGAAACTTGGAACAGTATCACAGGAAGGAAATGGAATGACTGTGGAATATATTCAGCTTTCTCATAGTCCAAATTCATAACTTAAACTGTAGTGCGGCTTGTTGCTATCTGAAAGTGTTGACTATGTCACTCATTAAATATCGCCATTAATGAGCAAGATGCACTGTGCTCGCGCAATTCAACCTAACAATCACCAAAGATAGCTAGCATCCTGGCACAGCATTCAGGGATTCAGAATACACATTCTACCTATGAGCCTTCATTATGAACATACAAAAGTCATTATAGACAATGCCAACAAAACAAAAGTTTGGGCCATTGATGGACAATGTACAATCCACTTCTTGCACAATGGCCTGTCCATTCAAAGTGACTTAAAATTATGTACAACTCATATTGGGCAGTGTTAGGCCTCAAGCCTCTGCTAATCACTGAACTCTGCTGCCTTAGCAGCCAAGTGCTACAAAGGCTTCTGCAGTTTACCACTGCGCTTAGCAGTCCCTAATGTCTAGTGACAATGAACGGAATATTGTTGAGGCATGGTGGAAGGGGAGGTGGGGTTGTGGTGGTGTTGACTGATGGCTAAAGTGCTGGTGAGAGACCCATGTTGTTTCTTTTCAGCTAGGCCCACTGAACCACAAACTGATCAGGCAGTGGTAAGGCCGCCTCTTAGTGGCCCTTTCATTGCAATCAAGGCTCTGGGGACAGTACTTGTACCCACTGAAAGTCTTCACTAATTGGAGGCTGGCAGCTCTTGTGAGTCATAGAGATTGTGGCAGCGCCTGCTGGAGTCTGGAGTCCTGGGATCATGGACTCAACCAGGCCATTATTAAGGAATATGGGAGATTGACCTGTAGGTCAAGGAAGTTCAGGGGGTTTGGCAGAAAGGATATGGGTGGCTCACAACTGCCCCCTGCCCACCCCCTTCCTCAATATCAATCCCCTCAATTGGTCACTTAATGTTTTGAAACTTGGGCATCTACTCCCTCAGGAGATGTCAAACTGGCCGCATCGCAAAGTATTAATGCAATTGGTGTTGGGATGAAGTCCTTAAGTGGTCATTAATTGGTGGTGGGTAAGTAGGTTGACTAGGGGTCTTCTGATACCTGTTCTAATACTGGCAGAGGCAAGAAGGAGGCAGGGGTCAATTATGCTGACACCCCACCGAATGACATTCTCTTCCTGCCTCAAAGTTCACCATCAATGAAAGCAGAAAATTTCACCCAGTGTGTATTATCTACATGGACAGAACTAATTTAAGATTCATTAACTGCAGTATTATAACCCCTGTGCTTTTTCTGTATTGCACTGCCCAATGGGGCATCTACTATTAACATAACTGGACATTTTTGGAGAACCTGGCCATAACTACCAATGTTGCTTACATTCAGGTCCAGATGATTCAAGAATGACAAATGTTACATCCTTGTTTAAAAGCAAGGTACAAAGTCCAGCATCTATGTGCAGTTCTAGTCACCCTACCCTAGAAAGGATATTGTTAAACTGGAAAGAGTGCAGAAACGATTTACTAGGATGCTACCTGGACTGGAAGGTTTCAGTAATAAGGAGAGGTTGCTTAGCTGGGACTTTTTTCCCAGGAGCATAGGAGACTGAGAGGTAACATTATACAGGTCTGAGAGGCATAGATTGGTTGATACTATTTTTTATTGTAGGGGAATCTAAAATTAGAAGGCATAGGTTTAAGGTGAGAGGGGAGAGATACAAAAGGGTCCAGAGGGGCAATTATTTCACACAGATGATGGTAAGTGTCTGGAATGGGCTGTCAGAGGTAGTTGTGGAAGTGAGTACATTTTTGTCATCTAAGAAACGTTTAGACAGGTACATGAATGGCATAGGTATGGAGGAATACGGACCAAACGCAGGCAAATGGCTCTAGGTTAATTGTGAAAACTGGATGGCTTGGGCAGGTTGGGCCGAAGTGCCTGTTTCCATTCTGTAGACCCCTGCATGTTCATAGTTCCTTGAAAGTGGAGTCACAGAGTGACAGGACAGTGAAGAAGGTGTTTGGTATGCTTGACTTATTGGTCAGTGCATTGAGTATAGGAGTTGGGAGCTGTACATTGGTTAGGCACTTTTGGAATTTTGCATTCAATTCTAGTCTCCCTGCTATAGGAAGGATGTTGTGAAACCCGAAAGAGTTCAGAAAAGATTTACAAAGATGTTGGCAGGGTTGGAGGGCCTGAGCTAAGGGAGAGGCTGAATAGGCTTTTTTCCCTGGAGTGTCGAAGGCTAAGAGGAGACCTTTTAGAGGTTTATAAAATCATGAGGGGCATAGATAGGGTGAACAGCCAAGGTCTTTTCCCTGGGGCAGGGGAATCCACAACTAGGGAGCATAGGTTTAAGGTGAGAGGGGAAAGACTTAAAAGGGACCTAAGGGACAACTTTTTCACACAAAGGGTGGTGTGTGTATGTAATGAGCTGCCAGAGGAGGTGGTAGCGGCTGGTACAATAACAACATTTAAAAGGCATTTGGATGCGCATATGAAGAGGAAGGGTCTAGAGGGATATGGGCCAAATGCTGGAAAATGGGACTAGATTAATTTGGGCTATCTAGTCGGCATGGACGCGTTAGACCAAAGATTCTGTTTCAATGCTGTACAGCTCTATAACTCTATGACTCGATAACTCTATTTACAAGCCAATCAGTTTAACATAGGTGGCAGGGAAATTTTTTTTAAATGTGGGGATGTTTTTAAAAATGATAATTTGGGAAAATTAACAGTCACTTTGACAAATGCTGGTTTATTAGGAAAGTCAGCATTGATATCTTGCAGGCAAATTGTGTTTAAACTGCTCAAGGTTTTTGAAGAGGTAACAGAGAGGATGGATGAGGGTACTGCTGTGAATGCGGCGTGCATGGAGTTTCAAAGGGCATCTGATAAATTGTCACATAAAAGGCTTGTCAGCAAAGTTAAAAGGAACGGAGGCAGCATGAATAAAAAGTAATCTGAGTGATTTTTAAAAATGAGTTAGACGTGAACGATTGCTTTGCTGACTGGAGGAAGGTTTATTGTGGGGTTCCCTAGGGGTCAGAAGTAGGACTTATGTTTCTGTTGATATATATTGATGACATAGATTTTGCTGCACAGGGCACTACTTCAAAATCTGTGACTGACACAAATCTCAGGTATATCAGAACCGTGAGCGGGACAGTGCTGACTTCAAAAGAAAATGATGTGGAACGGCAGACACACGACAGATGAAATTTCATGCAGAGAAATGTGAAATAATTAATTTTGGTAGAAAGGATAAGGAGTGGCAAAATAAAAACAGTGCATAATTCTAAAAAATGTGCAGGAACAGAGGGACCTGGAATATCTATGCACAAACAGTTTTATTTTAATTCATTCATGGGATGAGGGAGTCACTGGCTAGGACAGCATTGATTGCCTATCCATAATTGCCCAGGTTGGGAGTGTGGTTAATAAAGCTTATGGGATCCTTGGCTTGATAAGTCGGGGGGGGATCCAGATATAAAAGAGAGGAAGTTATGAGAATCCAATATAAAACACTGGCTTGGCGTCAATTGTTGTTTTGTGTCCAGTTCTGGGCATTAAATTTTAGGAAGGATGTGAAGGCTTTAAAGAGAGTGCAGCAAAGATTCACCAAATTGCTTCCAGGAATGAGAAAGTTCAGTTACATGAACTAATTGGAGAAATGTTCTCCTTGGAGAAGGCTGAGAGGAGATTTGATAGAGGTTTTCCAATTCATTAGAGATTGAGTCGGTAGGAGCAAACTAAAACCATTGCCGGTAGGGTCCAGAAGTAGAGGACACAGATTTAAATTGATTGACAGAAGAAGGGGTCAACATTTTTAGTCAGTGCATGATTAGGATCTGGAATCCACTGCCTGTGAGTGTGATGAAGGAAGATGTAACCAGCTTACCAAGAGAATTTGATTAATTTCTGAGGAGGAGTTAAAAAAAAATGGTAGTGAAAAGGTGGGGGAGTGGCACTCAGAAAAATCAGCTGTTGCAGAGAATTGGCACAGACACAATAGGTTGAATGGACTCCTTCTGTGCTTACAATTCTATGATCCAAAGCCTAAAAGGATTATTGCCAACCTAGAGTTATGCAGCACTGAAACAGGCCCTCTTGTCCTTAAAAAATTTATTCTTTTTCTGATATGGATGTTTCTGGAAAGCGCAACATTTATTGCTCATCCCTATCTCTCCTGGAGAATTTGAATGATGACTAATTTTCCTGAGCCACCTCAGGTCTGTGTGGTGAAGCTCAGATGTAACATTTGGTAAGAGTTCCAGAATTTTAGTGCACTGACAATAGAGTTACACAATGTTATATATCCTAGTTAGGATGTTGCACTGTTTGGAGGGAAGTTGGATAGCATGTGTTCCGATATACTTGACATCCTTGTCCTTGAAAGTGGCAGAAAAAAGTTGGGGAGTGTGGAAGGTGTTCAACAGTAAGTAAGTAAAATTAACAACAAAATTACTTAAATACGACTCAGATTTCATTATACGTAAAAGAGGTTAAACTTCTCTAGCTGGGTTACAATCCTTTGTTATTACTTACAAAGCAGCATGAGATATCAGCACACATTAACTACGCACAATTGGAAATGGACGCGAAAGTATGTCATTTTCTTGTATGTCTAGTCAGTTTTACAGGCTACCAGACAGGCAGCAGTAAAGAAAATTATATCAAGGTACGCGTGTAAAATTCAGTAGAACCTCTGCATCCATGACCTCAATGGGTTATCCTGCTCTAAAGTATTCTGCAAGTTCCTCCCTGATTTTCTCTAAACATCAGGGCTGTGTTCTCACTCAGTTTAGAGTAAGTACTGACATTGTTGCAAATCTGTGCTTGGTACTCACCTTGGTTGCATGTTTTGCCAGTGAATCCTGGGTAACATTTACATTTATTTGCCCCAATACACTCTCCATGTTTACATCCATGTTCACAGATAGCTGATAAAAGATCACACCCACAGAAATAAAGCATTAGAATTTGACCAGCTCTTTTATATAAACAAAATATTTGTACTTCAATGTTACAGAGCAAATAGAACCAGAGGATTTAAATAGGTATTATTACATTTTTATTTTACTGATATTATCAAAAAATGTGTCAGAGATTAGAAATACCACTTTATTCAAGTTGGAATTAATTTATAATTATGCAGCAAGGACAAGTATTGTGTCTGTAAATGCTTAAAAAATTAAAAATCTGAAGCTGCAACTCAGTGCAAGTATAATGAAGTAGTTAAATTCTGCTAAAGGATTTTGATCCAAAATCCTAATTTGCTTTCATATATCTCTTCGGGGTTGACGACGAACAGTACATGGACTTCAACATAAAGGTGTTCAGAACCTGGAATCTGATAATTAATAAATACAACCGGTCTCAATTGGAATGAGGCAACTAGTTGTTTCAATTCCCAGAGTTTCTGAAGTGTGACTGGTTTCAGTTCTATTGGTTATTCCTTCCATATACATATTAATCTACTTTTATATCAAATTCTGTTTTGGATTTATCCACGCCTCTCCAAAAGTTTGTAATTTATAGGTAGGCATTAAAATTGGATCCATTTTTAAACAAACTGGTTGACTCAGAGCTAAATAGTGTCAAGGACCACCAAATCCGAAACGATATGGGGTTGCAGCAGAGGGTGGATTAGGATTTCAGTTTGTTGGTGCTTGTTTTGCTGATGTGAAATATTCATTGAAAGCTGTCAGGGTGCTAGGGAATGATCGTGCAGAATAAACCATAGGAAAGTAAAGTTGGAAGTGCATCTCCAAACAAAGTAAACTTTGAATAATTCCCTGTGATCATTTTAATTTTCTTATATTAATGCATTCTTAGGATGTGGGCATCAATGTCAAGATTGGCAGGGATTAGCCACCAAGAATTAAGACATAAATGGACCAGACCAGCAAAAACAGAAATCTAACCATAACAGTCTGGTGAAGCAATTGTGTTTTTATCATATTCTACTTTTTCTACTTCCAGTTTCTTTTAAAATAAAAACAATTCTCCAGCTGTCATTTTAGAATTTGATCTCATGATTCATGATTCATGAATCTTCATGCTTCATGGTTCATGACCCCTCAGAGGAGTTATGAACTATAATCTCAATTTGGGAACATTTTGAACAATAAATTCAAGTCATGACCCCCATGTCAAATAATGCATTCCACCCATCCACCCCTTGGCCCCTTTCATGCCAACTCAATCACAACATATGCTTCCCCACCCACCGCCACGACAACTCATGGCCCTTCTAAATTCATTCACACAGTATATGAAATGTACGGAACCAATTAGCCCGAGAGTAACGATGAATTGTGTAACTTGCTCAGAAAAAAAACCCTATTCACAAAAAATCTTCAAAGAAAACTGAAAAGTGTCACTCAAATAGACTATTACAATATCATTAACAGAAAACCACTTTGCATGTCTTTTTGCAGATACATATTGAGATACTGGCAAAGGTTATCATAGAAAATAATTGACTATAACCACAAGGTCAGCTATGTGTGGAACCACAGGAGATGGGTGAGATACTAAACAAGTATGTTGCATCAGTATTTACTGTGGAGAAGGATATGGAAGCCAGAGAACTTGGGGGAATAAATAGTGATATCTTGAAAAGTACCCATATTACTGAGGAGGAGGTGCTGGACGTCTTAAAATGTGTAAAGCTGGATATATCCTCAGGACCTGATCAGGTCTTTCCCGGAATTTTGTGGGCAGCTAGGGAATTGATTGCGGGTCCCCTTAATCAGGTATTTGTATCATCGATAGCCATAGGGTGAGGTGCCGGAAGATTGGAGGTTGGCTAATATGGTGCCATTATTTAAGAAAGGTGGTAAAGAAAAGCCAGGGAATAAACACTGGTGAGCCTGACATCAGCAGTGGGCAAGGTTTTGGAGAGGATTCTGAGGGACAGGATTTACATGTATTTAGAAAGACAAAGACTGATTCAGGATAGTCAACATGGCTTTGTGCGTGGGAAGTCATATCTCACAAACTTGGCTAAGTTTTTTGAGGAAGTGACGGAAAGGATTGATGAGGGAAGAATGAAGGACGTGGTCTGTATGGACTTCAGTAAGATGTTTGACAATGTTCCGCATATAGACTGGTTAGCAAGGTTAGATCACATAGAAAACAGGGAGAGCAGGATACAGAACTGGTTGGAAAGCAGAAGACAGAGGATGGTGGTAGAGGGTTACTTTTCACCTGGAGGCCTGAGACCAGTGGTGTTCCAGAAGGATTGGTGCTGGGTCCACTGCTTTTTATCATTTATATGAATGACTGAGATGTGAGCAAAGGAGGTGTGGTTAGTAAGTTTGCAGATGACGGCAAAATTGGAAGCGTAGTGGAGAGGCAAGAAGGTCATCTCAGAGTACAACAAAAAATTTGTCAGATGGGCCAATGGGCCAAAGAGGGGCAGCTGGAGTTTCATTTAGATAAATGTGAGGTGCTAAATTTTGGAAATATAAATCAGGACAGGACTTAATGATAAGGCCCTGGGAAGTGTTGATGAACAAATAGACCTTTGAGTGCAGGTTCATAGTTCCTTGAGAGTGGAGTACCAGGTTGACAGGGTAGTGAAGAAGGCATTTGCCATGCTTGCCTTTATGAGTCAGTGCATTGAGTATAGGCGTTGGGAAGTCAAGTTGCGGCTGTACATGACATTGATTAAACTACTTTTAGAGTACCGTGTTCAATTCTGGTCCCCCAGCTATAGGAAAGTTATTGTGAAACTTGAAAGGATTCAGAAAAGATTGACAAGGATGTTGCCAGGATTGGAGGTTTTGAGCTGTAAAGAGAGGCTGAATGGGCTACTTTCCCTAGAGCGTCAGAGGCTGAGGGGTGAAGTTTATAGAAGTTTATAAAATGATGAGGGGCATGGATAGGGTGAACAATTAAGATCTTTCTCCCGGGTAGGTGAATCCAAAACTATAAAATAGGTTTAAGGTGAGAGGGGAAAGATTTAAAAGGAACCTAAGGGGCAACTTTTTCACGCAGAGGGTGGTGCGTGTATGGAACGAGCTGCCAGAGGAAGTGGCAGAGACTGCTACAATTACAACATTTAAAAGGCATCTGGATGGGTCCATGAAATGAAAGGAAAATGGGATTAGATTAATTTAGGATATCTGGTCTGCATGGATGAGTTGGAACAAAGGGTCTGTTTCCATGCTATACATTTCTATGACTCTGTCATTCTATGACATAAAATTGTCAATCAAACTAAGTCAACAGTTCTCACCAGCTGTCAAAACAAGATGTGCACTGAGTTAATCCTTTTGAGTCTGAGCATTTTATTGGTGGAATGATGTGAGCTGGCTCTGAGTTGGTGTGGCATTGTGAAGGAGAAAGGAGTGAGGGCTGGAAGGCCTAAGAGACTTTAATACAAGTAGGGAATCAGGGTGAGCCTTTTAACCAACCTGCCTCAGCACTTGGCTAAACTTATGACCACCACCGACTCCCACTGGAGATCTTCCATTGCCTCTCTATCACCTGCACTCCCTCCAGCACAATGATTCAGCCATTCAGGGGCCTTTTAACCATGGCCAGTAATGTTTTGGGAAATTGGCTGATTCAAGCTGCCTGCCATGGTGATGAAAATTTGGGCCTGAATCTAAGCAGGTTAGAGGACCAAAGAGATCCGGGTGTACGGATTCAAAACAGAGCAAGTGCATGTTATTAAACAAGGCTAAACAGAGCATTGTGGCTCATTACTACAGAGACAGAAATAAAAGGCAGTAAGGTTACATTAAACTTGCATAGAACATTATTAGACCACAGTTGGTAGTGATCAGTGCTGGGGCCACAATTATTTACAACATATTAATGACTTGGGTGAGGGAAACGAACATACTATCACCAAGTTTGCAAGTGACACAAAAATAGGTGAGGATGAGGATGACACAAAGAACTCACAGAGGGACATAGGCAGGTTAATAAAGTGGGCAAAACATAGGCAAATAGAATATTATATGGTAAAATGTGGATTTATGCTCTTTGGCAGGAGCTGAACATTATTTGAACATTAGTTGCAGCATAGGGAATCTGGAAGTCTTCGTGCATACATCACAAAAACTTAGCAAACAAGTTCAGCAGGTAATAGGGAAATCAAATGGAACATGGGCCTACTTTTCAAAGGTAATAGAGTTTAAAAATGGGAAGTCTTGCTTAAATTATACAAGGTACTAGTTAGAGCACAACAGACTACTGTGATCAATTTTAGTCCATTTATTTAAGGAAGGCTTTATTGGCATTGGAGGTAGTCCAGAGAAGGATTACTATTTTGATCCCAGGTAAGGAAGAATTTATTTATGAGAACAGGTTGAGTACGTTGGTCCTGTACTTGCTGGAGTTTGGAAGAATGAGAGGCAATCTCATTGAAACATATAGTCAATCCTCTGTATCTGCAAAATCACTAGTCACAAATTTGCCTATCCAAAAAATAAGTAACAATAAAAATTAACATCCGTGGGCAAAAATTGCATATCGGCAATTTTTAACATATTTTTAACAAGCCCCACACTTGCAAACTTCATAATTTGCAGGAGTTGTCAGGAACAGAACCCTCGTTGATACAGAGGAATGCCTTTATATAAATCTTAGGGCATTTGAGAGGGCACATGTAGAGTTAATGTTTCTGCTTGTTGTGAGAGTCTAAGACCAGAAAGCATCATCTCAGACCAATAGGTCACCCATTTACGACAGAGATGAGGAAGAATTTCTTCTCTCAGACGGTAGGGAATTCTGTGGAATTCTTTATCATAAAGGGCTGCTGAGGCTGGGTCATTAAGCCAATTTGAGGTAGTAAGGGAATCAATGGTCATGGTGTGAAGGGAGGAAAGTGGAATTGAGGATTACCATATCAGCCATGATCTCACTTAATGGTGGAGTAGACTCAATGGGCCGAATGGTCGACTTGTGCTCCCATGTCTTGTGA